ATATATATATATATATATACACACACACAAATCTGCTGTAAAACTTGAACACACTGACAGAACAACTTTTACCACTTTTTAAGAAGCTGCAGTTTGGTTTCAGTCAAAAACAAATGTGTTAATTTTAAAAAACGTTTGAACCATTAATGAACCTGAACAAATGTAACCAAGTAAAATACTTGAAATAAAACCTACTTAAGTGAAAATAAAAGCATACTTTTGAATAATCATCCTAACAAGTACAAAGTACACATAATTCATACTTAATTATATGAAGCAAGTAAGTGAAATTTGCTCATTTCCTCTCTGCTTGCAGATTTAATATTATTATTATTGTTGTTTTCCAAATGCTGGACCACCATTTTACCGTGTGATCACAAAGTTTAATGCCATAAAGTATTTCAGAGAATAGCCTGTAATCACACTGAGCTTTAGAAAATCAAAGGCTTGTTTGTTTTATTCAGGTTAACGTGCCTCACAGCACCATCACCACAAATAAAATCCTGTGTAGCTGGGACAGAAAGAGCTACCTTCTCTGCTGCATAGTTCTTGGATCTTCTGGACGTTTTTCTGTTGTCAGACACAAAGATGGTGCCATCTGCTTCCCTGAAGACGGAATGCCCTGAAGAACAGAGAGCAGATGTTACAACATGGTACTGGCCTGTGGCAGAAACCCACAGAGAGCAGGTGAAGGGGAAGACATACCCTGCTCAGAAATGATTTCTGGCTGTTCTGGGGTGTGCCGTTCCGAGGGGAGACGTACGGCCGAGGTGGCGATGCATCTGTCGTCAGGGAAACCGGGGACTGGCTGGAGTGTTGGGCTGAACACAGGATGTTAGTAGTGGAGGAACAGAAACTCAATATCTGACACACGAAAAGGAAGTGTTTCTGAACTAAGTGCTAAAGGGGAAATGCTAAAAGGTGTTCAACGTCTTTTGAAACAAAGCCAATATGTGTTTGAGTCTGCAGCTCTCTATAGTAGTGGTTCTCTAGGAACCCCATCCTGCAGGTTTTAGATGTTTTCCTACTTTGATGAACCTCATTTATCTGAATTAACAAGCTTCTGAACAACCTGAAGACCTGCAGTCATCACTGCATGGGAGCAAGCAGCCATGTAAAAACCCCGGGAGCAGTTGGGTGCCTTGCTCAAGGACACCACGACTTGTGGGCATGGCGGGGATTTAAACCCGTGACTTTCTGATCCCAAGTCGGCTGTCCTACCACTGCACCACAGCTTTGAATATATGTCTTTAAACATCATGACTTCTAAAAATAGTATTTCAGTCAACATCTAGATCAGGGGTTTTCAAACTGAGGGGCGAGTCTCCCCTAGGGGGCAGCAGAGGTCTTGAAGGGAGGGGTGAGGTGAATCAGGAAGTAATACGCTGCTGGTGTTGGTCCACTGTGTTTTRTCAAGGCCAGGGTCAATGCAGCTATCAGGAGATTTTGGAGCACTTCATGCTTCCATCTGCTGAAAAGCTTTATGGAGATGAAGATTTCATTTTTCAGCACGACCTGGCACCTGCTCACAGTGCCAAAACCATTTTTTTAAATGGTTTACTGACCATGGTC